TCAGATCCAGGAATCAACATTAATATTAGCCCCCCTGATCAGTTGAAAAGCAGCTGCGCTTCCACGAAGTTGCCAAATCAAGATGACGCAATGCTACGTTTCCCCGTGGATGACATCACTGCACCATTTACATCATGTGAGCTACATATTCCAAAAGAGAATGCCACAATCATGGTGGCTCTCAGTGTTTTTTCTCCTCTAGATCCTACCAAGACACCAAGAATCCATGGGGCAATAATACCACCAGGATATGTTAGCGTCTCAGTGGATAGAGTTAACAAAGGTTTTAGTGATCTGGCTCTTGACATTCCAGGAGGTGATGGGGAGAAGACTCTAGGAGAAGCAGAGAAGACATTCATACTATGGCGCAAGCGCTACATCATTATTCCTAGGGTCTCTAGTCCACCGCCGCTTCCTCAATTGCCAGACAATAGGTGCGGACAAAAGTGAACGAAAAATTTTTCACTAATTTTCTATTGACATGCATGATTAAAAATAACAATTTCTTATACCTAATTATTCTTTTTTGTACTCATACAGCAGGGACTTCGCCAACCTAAGTCCAATTATTCAATCTCCAGATCATAGTGCTCCTGGCAATCAGGTGGCAACGCCGCCACCGCCGCCTCCTCCAAGGAGGTCTCCAACGGCTTCCCCGCCTCCCTTGATGACTAAGAAGAAGCCAGCTCCTAAGAGGTCCACCCCGCAAACGAAGCCGTTGGCCCACCAGCCAGCAAAGAAGAAAGCCTCATCTAATCCAGTTATTCCCCAAAAACTGTCTTACGAGAAAAGTGAAAATGAATTAAATGCTGCAGTACAAAAAGATGTGGACAGTTTCTTCGAAAAAGTGAAAAAGCAACAAGAAGCGAGGGAGAACCCAAAGAAACCATACTTCTACCTACCTCCAGATCTTCTAAGAAAGAAGGTGGACCAGAAAAAGCGGGAATCTCAAAAGACCCTGCCAAAATTGGACTACGACCGCTCTCTCACCAAGTCATTTGAGGCGGCGCAGAAAAAGACTAGACCAGGGAAAGGTGTTGCACAACTCGGACAACAATCGCAACAATTAGTCCCCCCCTCTTGTCGTTCATAATGAATATGGTTCGAACTTAGACTTAGACGTCGATTTTGAGGAGTTGGCTCGGTTTTACGAGGAAACTGGTTTGGACCTTGCCCAAGTGCTCGCTGAAGGACCATCTACTCCGAAAGTGGATCCTTGGAAGAAATTTGAACATGGAAAGAGTCTATACAACCCTAAGGCCTTAGGTGAACTGGGTACGCAAATGTACCTGCTAAACAAGTGGTACATGGCGGCGTGTGAACGGGGAGAGGCCTTTGTTCCTGTCAGAGTTAGAAACCAACATTACTTTCGTGGCGATGACGTTATATATGTTGAGTTTGTAGAATTACACCAACTATGCCACCTGGACTCTCTCGACAAAAGTCTCATTAGCTGCTATTGTCTGTAAGTGTGATTATTTTCTACTATTAAAGTGTATATATATAAAGCTACATGTATATATATAAATTATATATCCTCACACTATATTTTTATATATGCAGATATGAGATGACAGAACTCAAAAAGAGAAAGGATAATGATGTTGGTTTCGTTGATCCAAATGTCGTATTCGAACACCCTAACCCCCGCCTCAATGGAAAACTGAACTCGAGAAAAATCTCATGAGGTTCTTAGTGAACCAACAAAACAAGGACATACTCTTCCCCTACAACTTCAAGTGAGTGTTAAATAATTAATGTCGATCATATGGACATTTGTTCAATTATTTGCTTACTAGCTAAGCTATCTCCCATATATATATATGTTGACTCCAGTTAATGTCGATCATATTTGTATATAAAAACATATGCAGCAATCACTGGATATTGATGGTCATCGATATGGCCAATAGTCGGTTGAGCATCTTAGATTCGTTAAGAAAAGAGCAAACAGAGTACCAAAACATTGTAGATATTATCCAAGGGTAATTTGGTCTCTCTAGCAACTATATATACCCCGATCTCTTAACTGCAACAATTATTAAAGGCCAAATTAATTTTTTATTTTATTGGGCGTAGTGTTTGAAAAAGTTTCATTGAGGAACACCACATGAAACATTGCAAAGCGCCACTGGATGTAATCGCATACAAAGTAAGTACTAGCTACATTTATATATATATATATATATATATAATTCAATTAACACCATGCATGCTTTCAATTCACCGGATCTTTTTTCTCATAAAAGTGGGTTCTGAGGTAAGAACAGGGGAACAACTACTACGGATACTATGTTTGCGAGTTCATCATGGCGTACACAAAAAGAACTCCTGAAGAGATGCTCAAAGTACGTTATATAAATATATTCATATATTCACAATTTCTTTTGTTGCTCATATATATAAGTAATCACGTGACCAACACACACACATATATATATATATATATTAATACTTTTCCTTTAACTTTTATTGAAGACTCTATGGTTGAAGGAAAAAGTCATACGATGTGACCAACTGAAAGCAATTCAAGAGACCATAGCAGGATTTCTTAATGACCAGGTCCTCAACCCCACCGACGAGTTCTACAATGACGTCAACGAAACATGGAAGCCAAACCAGATGGAGTGAATTTGTTATCCCAAGGATATGATAGAATATACAATGCAAGCTTTATTTGTAATATATATATATACATACATATTATATGTACATAAAATAACGTACAATATATGTATATGCATGTAATATATATGTTAGTTTCATACTTTAGTTTGTACAAAATGTTCGAACATTATAAACGTGTAGACTACGTATATTACTAGCAGCGTAGAATGTGTATTCGAAAACCTATTCAAAAACCAAAACAAATCATCAATTGAAAATAGAAACAAAAAAAAGAAAACATTTAGTCCTGATTGGTAATACCAACCGGGACTAAAGGGCCGCCCCACGTGGCCAGGCCGGAGGCCTCTTTAGTCCCGGTTGATCTTACCAACCGGGACTAAAGGTGCACCTTTAGTCCCGGGCGAGAAACCGGGACTAAAGGAGGGGCCCTTTAGTCCTGGATTCGTGCTCCCGGTTGGGAAACCGGGACTGAAGGGGTTTCCCAACCGGGAGTAAAGCCTGATTCTGTACTAGTGGTGGAGCAAAGCTGTAATATAATGTTGTACCATACTTATTACTACTTTATATTTTGTGATAGGTACCAAATGCTTTATTAAGCTTGAAAAGATGTTCTCCAAAACAGTGAGGGTTGCAATAGTGACATAAATATTTTGAAGCATGCATGGCTTTATATGCTTTCATAGGTGTATATATATATATGCAATTTCTTCAGGAAACTTCATGGATTTGAAGTTTCAGACTTTCAGCTAGTTTTTGACGTTGCCATCATCATATAAGCACAGATAGCAGTGCATAACAGTTATTAAACAGCTATCTTTTGCGAGAAAGTAAACAGCTATTAAATAAACTTCACTTGGTAGTGCAAAAGTATTGCTGCAGATACAGACATACTTGCAGCAACATGTACAGAACAAAAATCAAACAAATGCGTGGTTAAGTACTGACCTGCTCACTTGGTAGTGCAAAAGTAAAAGTATTGCTGCCTGCATATATTCCTTTGTCAAAAATAAGTGTGGCTGAAATGACAATATGAAATAAGTGTGACTGGTTTATTAATAGAGATATCTGGCAGTTGGCTGCAGCTAGAAATAATTAAGGATTGCAGTGTACAGATAATTCTCTGACTGGTTTTAATGTCTCTGTTCATTATGTGTAACATAAGCCATCTAATGACATAACTAAAGGCTGCAGTAACACTTGTTGGTATACTAATGGGATAGTCATATACCCTTCCAGTAGTAATCGTATAAAAAGTTCGACGCTACATGACTGGTTTTAATGGAATACATTGAACATATATTTAGGCATCAGATTGAATTATAAAATATAGAGTAATCACATTGCAACTATGATGCTAAAATTGGTGCAGTTCGTTTGCATGACTCGGTACCTATCTATATCAATTATATATTATACTGGAACGCAGGCTATATTGTCTTTGTTTGGTTATCATAATATGACTAAAATAGAAAAGGAATGTATTCACTTACTAAAGAATGCATACAGCCCTGTAAGGTCAATTATTTATCACAAGAAGCAAAACCTAAAAATCTAATACGCATGTATAGCTTATTTTGCCTTGATTAACAAAAAAAATTGTATATGAAATCCAAATTAGAACTCATATCCAAGATAGGAAGGAAAAGGGAGAGAAATGAAACAAACCTGTGGCTGCAGGGTTGCCGTAAACTTGCTGCTGATTTGTGGACTTCGCCACCCCAAGATTAAGCAAGTAACAGAAGGGGCGAAGGAGTATCAAATTTCTTTGTTCTGGCCTGTCAAATAGTCATGCAAGATTGTGTAATGGAAAAAAAATCAGAACATTGCTCTTTTAGGTCTGTATCCCTATACTGTGGCGATTATGAGCAGTGAGCAGTGTTCTTTAGTTTTACTCATTATGAATTCAATCTAATTTACATAAGAACAGAGTACTTTTTTCCTTGAAAAAAACAGAGTAATTTTTTTGAAACTTCAAGAACAGAATATTGTAACACCAGAATCATATTAACTTGCAAGTCATGCAGGCTAAACACGATCAGTAATTTCTGTATAAATATTCAGGTGATGCAGCACCTATTCAACTTTTTTCACAAGTACAGTACTTCAGATTGAGAACAGATGAACTCAACCTAATTTGCACACAAGAACAGAGACCTTAGATTCCTTGTTTCCAAGATCTATCTAATCTTCTATGTTGTTGAAGGCTAGAAAATACCACACAAGAACAGAGCCTAAATTTGCACAAGGAAACTTGCCTGTTGCTTCGTCTGGAACATGGTGTTGTAGGCTCGTAGCTGGAGAGGAAGCACTGAAGCAGCTGCCATCGCCGGCCGGATTCGTGCTTTGGTCCTCTGCCTCCGCCCTCATCCTCCTCAGAACTTGAAGCTAATTCGCCATCGGTAGCGGACATCGACCCTGGCCAAGTTGCAGCAACAGCAGCCATGGTCGTCGTGTCGTCGCGGACTCTCAGATCTAGAGATGTCGGGCTCAAGTAATAAGATAAGTGAGGAATCAATCACCTGAGATGCAGATGGCGGTACCTCGAGGAAGAAGATGGCATCAGGGTCGCAGATCTTCATGCCCTCGTCTACCATGAGGAAGAAGACGGCGGGTACGGCAACCCCGACGAGCGCGCAGCGGGGATGACCTCCACGTATCGCTGCATCTCGCTGTCCTAGAAGATGAGCAGAAGGCGGCGCAGTGAACGAGGGCCGAGGGCAGGGAGGGAGAGGCGGCATCGGCGAGCTGCTCCCTGCCCGCGGCGATGAGCCTAGTGATGTCCTTGCCCTCCATGAGGGCGAAGAGTAGGTCGAGGCGGTCCTCCACCACGGCACCGACGTAGCCCAGGATGCGGCGCACGTCGTCCTCGGTCGGGAGCGCCCCATCTTGGCCTCGCGTGGCCCGGCAGCGCCCCGTCCGCCGTGGCCTCCCGACGCCTGGAGGCGGTGCGCCTACAGCTGCCTCGCGTCAACCGGCGGCGGCTAGGGTTACACAAAGGCCAAGGAGTCGCGTGGGGGGCGATCGCGGGCGAGCGCACCAGGAGGGGGGGCGCGCGCCGGAGAGGCGTCGGGGCGAGGGTTGGGGGAGTCGCGGGATCGCAAGCTTGGAGGAGGTCCCACCTGCCGGCGCCGCGGGATCGTAGGCGTGGGCAGACGGACGAACCAAAACAAATGTCGCATCAAAAAATGTCCACGCTTTGTTCTTTTTAGTTGTAGGAGATAACAAAGGTTGTCACTTCGTTAATACTATTAGAGGTTTGTGAGATAAAAATGTGAAAATAATATATATAATTCAGGAATATTCAACTACATTGTCTTAGCTAAGAAAATTACACAAAAACAAGAAAGATCATCGCTTAATTAGAGGTTTGCGAGATTTTCTAACATAAACAAGCACACTTTTGTATTCAGTTTTGGTAACTTCTTAAGCTTCCTTGGTAATGGTATTGTCATTCATTTATCTTTGTTAATCACTATTGGGAAACAGTGGTGAACTTATACCCACTAGACTGACGACCTACACTTGAGGCACATTAACTCATTTTTAGAGTCGGTCAACCAATGAGTCCTTTTGACAGCAGAGTTGTCTTTGCGCTTCCGATTACAGTGGCAACCTATAGATGAAGCTGGGTTTTGGATGGCAAAGTCAATTTTCCATGGATCACCAATACATGGAAAGTCCAGGAGACCAACACAAACAAGAACAAAAGCACATACACCTTTGATTGTCTATCCTATTATTTCGGTTACCCCAGTAAAGTTGAAATTGTGTCCCAAGGCAAACACAAGAATGACATATATTTCTATGCTCAGTATCAGATACATACTAATAGATCATGCACTACCGGAAACCTCAAGTTTGCCGAGTGTTTTTATGTTTGCCGAGTGCATTCCCTCGGGCACTCGACAAACAAATTCTTTGCCAAGTGCTATCCGAAAAACGCTCGGCAAAGATAGGGGTTTGCCGAGTGTCAAACAAAAAACACTCGACAAATAGGGGGTTTACCGAGTGTCAAAAAAAACACTCGGCAAATAGGGGTTTACCGAGTGTAAAAAAAAACACTCGGCAAATATGGTTTTATCTGTGCCTACCTATATTTATTCATTCTGCATACATGCCTTGGTCCAGTCGGTATTTTTTTGACGAGAACCTAGGATGGGGAGAGCTTCCCCGCCTGGAATATATATATATTAAGATCAACAGATAAAGTTTGGTTACAGCTTAAGACGATATCGATCGCCTTACATAGAACTTACACAAGAACCACTACTACACAAACTTTACTGGAGGCGGGCGATTTGGGTTTCCCGCGGCGGGCAAAGCCGTCCGCCGCGGCCTAGAGGCCACGGTAAATCGTGGCTTAACCGCGGCGAACGGCTTTGTCCGCCGCGGTTAACCGATTTACCACGGCGGGCGGCGTAACGTGCCCGCTGCGGTAAATATTCTTTTACCACGGCGGGCACGTTACACTGCCCGCCGCGGTAAATTATTTTACCGCGGCGGACACATTTTGTGGCCCGCCGCGGTTATGTGTATTAGCCATGGCGTGCTTTATTATTTGCCCGCCTCGGTAAATTATTTCCTAAATTAAAAAAAATACAACAGGCATATAAATTCAAATAAAATACAGCATGCATATAAATTCAAATTCAAATCCAAATCACATCCATATTTCACAGATTAAACTTAAAAAGTATGCAGGCATTACACATGAGATAATATACATATATATACATTCATTTCGTCGTTCTTTTCATCGTTAATTCATTACATTTACATATTAAAGTCGTTATACATGCGCTAAGGTGTAATCCTGCGGACGCGTCATCGTGGGCCATTTCCTCAGCCTCTCGTACTCCGGTAAAATCGCTAGCGGACTGTTCTCATGGAAGAACGTGCCCCCTTCAAGTACGCATTTGTCTAAGACAAACTTACATATGTCCGCCTTTGTCTGCTTGAAGCTGTGTTGGATGCTCTGCATGTCTCTCGACCAGTTCAATCCATTCTTGAGCATCCTCCAACTGCTGCTATACTGCTTGCACACCCTCAGGAACTCACAGGCGTAGAAGCCACAGGTTTGTGATCCGACCGGTTGTTTGGCACACTGCATGATCGATACGCAAGCATTACAACATAGGCATTAGAACGCATATGAACGGAAAGCACAATTAAACCTTTCAAATACTTACCGGAAAGTTGCGTCTGATTTTGATACGGTTCTTATGCTTAGCCTTAAATTTCTCTGTTCTTCGATCATAGCATTTAGGATCCTTCACGTACTCCTTATAAGCGCTATACGAAATTTACTAGTATTAGGCAGGGCATTAGAACGCATATAAGAAGACAGTTCAGTTACTTACACTCTGAGGCAATCTTCAAAGGCCTTGTACCCTTTTAAGTTTGGCACTATCAACGAATCAAATACGCAGGCCCTGCCATCCTGAGGGTAGATGATAAATGCAACCCAGTGACCCTCGAGGCCTTGGCTGCGCCATTGAGACAAAATACAGGTTACGACGAGAAATAATAATACTAGCTAGCTACCCACTTATATCTATAGGCATGTCGTCGACTTACCCAAAGTGGTAGGCAGCTAGGATACACCCATTTCCCCTGATCTTCTTCATTGCTCCTAGTATGTACCTTGAAATGTTCAACTTCTCATTGTCCATCATTTTCTTCCTATGCGTCTCTCTCTGTCGCTTGGTCAAGTCTTTCATGGTTGGATGATTGTCATCTAGGTGGTAACCAATGATGATTCTTTGAGCAATATGCATTGGAGATAGATAGATAACATCAAGTTTTAGTTCCTTGGATATATAGGCCATCAACCTGCAAGGACAAGCCATCGTGGCATATATAAGTAGTCTTGACCGATTCAAAGGCAGGTGATATGTGAAACTCGCAATTCAGCACTTACATAGACAACAAGGTGACTTGGGCGATGTCAAGGTCTTGTTCCCGCAGTAGTCTGTACATGTCGTGGAAGTCCACGGGGAGTTCTACATCGTTGCCGGGCAAGTGGAAGTACTCCGCCACAACCTTGACTAGAAAACCATGCAGGCCAGCTTTTGCTGCTTCCATGTACCAGAGATGAAACCTCCTTGTCTCCCACCTTTCCTCATCGACGAGTTGGGCCTTGGCTATCATGAACTTCCCATGCTCGTAATTGCCGGGGCAGTCATCCGATTCAGGAAATAGATGGAAAGGTGATCTCGGCCTGGGATAGAAATGTTAGTACCATATTATGGCAAAGAAAAGTTATTAGCAAATTATGCTCGCCGCTACCATACCTTTCGAACTCAAGTGAGTATGTGAGCTGCCCTTGGTCGCCTTTAGTCTTCGCCGGTGGTGGAGGACAGTGGCTTGTGCTCGCAATGGCAGCAGGCGGTGTCTTTGCCCCCGGTTCCTCCGTGCCTCCCGGTCCTTTGCTCGTGCCCTTAGACGGACTGCCAGGCGGTGGAGGTGGACTTGTTGTTGGAGGAGGAGAACGAGGATGAGGGCTTGTGCCTCCCGGTGCTTTGCTCGTGCCCTTAGACGGACTACCGGGAGGTGGAGGTGGACTTGTTGTTGGAGGAGGAGAACGAGGGTGAGGGCTTGTGCCTCCCGGTGCTTTGCTCGTGCCCTTAGACGGACTGTCGGGAGGTGGAGGTGGACTTGTTGTTGGAGGAGGAGAACGAGGGTGAGGGCTTGTGCCTCGGGGTGAGTTCCTTCCCTTGTCATCCCCGCCATTGCCTTCATCATCGCCGTCGTCGTGATCCGGATCATCAGGGGGACAAGATCCGGCAACGGATGGTTGTGATGCTGGTGTCGCCGTCAGCGTAGAAGTCAGCGTCGAGAGAATGATCTCTATGTCGACCTTGTTCCACAGGACTTCAGAACCCAAGGCAGCTGCAAGGATCGTTACCCCTTCTGCATTTGGATATTCCATTTCAAATTCTTCATATTCGGTCGCATACCATGTAAGTATCATGGCAGCATAGTTGGCAGGGATCTGGTCTTGGTTGAAATCTTTGATATCTTCTTTGGGGTGCATGTAACCCTCACCCACGGTCAACTTTTTCGCCCTGCCGAATGGGATCGTGAGGTGGACGCGCATGGGTTCCCGGATGGCGTCGACAGGGTGCCTTGGGTGATCCTCGATCATCGGCAGTGGCTACCCTTGTGTCTGCCCTTGTGGAACTTGAGGCACGGCCACCCCAGCCTAGTGAAGCATCTGTGACCTCATCGACACCATATCTGGGTCATTGCTCGTGAAGGCTTCTTTTATGGACCGGCTGATCATTTCGGCCACGCCTTGATCATAGCCCTTCTGAAAGATGCCCTCCTTGTACCTCTACCTTGATTGGTATGTGGCAGCGTCGGATTGCCATGACTCCACTGAGTTCCAGCTCATCTTCGACGACATGCCACGGATGCGGCCACGGTGCTCGGGGGTTCCCAGCGTCAGGGTCAGCAAGTCCTGGCCCCTGCGAACCTCGAAGCTGTCCTTGGATTTAGCGGCCTTGATGACAGCCCTCTCCACCTCCTCGAACTTGGGCTCATTGAACTTGCTCGCGCTCTCCTTGAGCTTCTTCGGCTTGCGGGCATAGATGAAGTCCTTAGCCCTCAAGTCTACACCGTCGTACGGATCGGGAAGCCCGACGGCAGCTCTAGACCTTTCTTCCTCCCGCCACTGGGGCCTCTTACCAGCAAACCCAGTCATGCCCAAGTGGTGGGGGTGCAGGTTCTTCTTCGCGAGTGCGCTGAACTTGGCGCTCTTTGCCTTTGCTTCTTCTGTTGTTCTTTGTTTGCAGAACTCTTCCCAATAATGTTCCTTCACCATAGTGTATTTGACATTGGGGTGACTTGCCTAGCTTCGTGTAGTACACGGTCAGCATGGACT